ATATATATATAAGATGCTAGGGTGAGTCCACTAACTCACCAGAAAAAATGAGCCTAACGGCCCATATTAAATCTTGCCCGATCTGACGATCACAAGTCCGGTAGTATTTGAATTTTAATTTTTTTTTTTTACAAATCTAAATCACTTGAAATTTAGAGCGTATGTACATCAAAAATAGATGAATCTTCAAAAAATATCAAAACAAATATTTTACATGAAATAAATTAACTAAAATACCCCCAAAAAGTTTCGGGGGTATTTTGATCACTTTTTTTTTGTTTCGAATTATTCTTTTTATATTTCTATTAAGTTCAACTTGATGAGAAGAACACACGCTTAAAATTTCAAATGATTTTGATTTGTATAAAAAAATTAAAATTCAAATACTACCGGTTATTTGTGATCGTCAGATCGGTCCAAATTCAATCTGGACCGTTGGGTTCAGTTTTTCCAATGAACTAGTGGGCTAACCTATGTGCAAAATACTACTTTTCTAGTTCCCAAAAACCAGTAGAAGAAAAGAAAGCACCAGGAAAAAAGGGAAACGACCTGGCGGCCATTCATTTATAAAGGGAGGAAACAAATATTCAAGGCGGGATCATGGCCAACAAAATGCCAGTTCCTTTGATAAGCATGTTGGACTCCATCCGCAGAGGAATGGAAAAGAATGAAAAAATAAAAGACTGAAAACAAATTCTAAAGACCTGCACTCATGCCAAAAGCAAAGCGTTCAACATAACTTTCTCTTCCTAAGACCTCCATAATTGATTGAAGTTGATGGGAGCAACGGATGGTGGGGAGCCGTTGCACATGCTGTCCGCCACCCCTTTTGCAAGTGTCTGCGTTGGGTGGTAGGCGTCCCAATAATAGTAGTCTGTGCGCTTCACAAACAAATCGGTTTTCGGGGAGCAAGGTCTCTCGCCATTCAATTTGCCCGATCCGCAGCAAGCAGTGTCCATTTCGGCGAACCCTAGGACACGGAAAAAATCGGCACAATCAATCTTTATAAGGATTGTATATCATCAGACAATTTTTGTCTTTTTTTACATGGAGGTCACAATTATTGTTGGCCTAAATTAGATGGTTTGGGGCATGTCACAAAGTTTGAATTTTATTTTTTTTTAATTTTATGTCTAGTCAGTTACTCACTCATAAGTACTTGGTCTGAAATCTAATGGATAATAGTGATTGTGATCTCCTTCTCATAAAAATAAATAGTCTTTTTCTTATACTTTTACCATTTTTATATTGCAACATCAAACGCACCCATCAATCCTCCATTACCATTTTTAAAAATGCTTGTGCGTGTGCACTGTCCATAGGACCCCAGGTGTTGTAGATGTAACCCCCTCCATCAAGCAACTAACCTCGAAAATGGAAATTTTATATACCATTTACAGGTGCCTAAAATAAATAAAATCCTAAAATCGAACATAGATTATCCAATGAAGGGGTGATCAAATCAAAGTGTTCAGGAAGTTAAAATAAAAAATGTTTGTTTCTTTTATGAAAATACTCATCTGGTGATTCTAAAAGAGTATCTACATTGTTAGCCATTGATAGAAGGGAAAGGTTTCTATACTTTCCCTACAACATAGAAGATCTATGCTTCTCCTACCATCCAGCCCTCCAATTTTGATCAAGAGAGCCACTCACCGTTTGATCTTAGATCCAACGTCTCAAAGTATTTTATTTTTAATTTTTTTTTATACAAATTGCATGAATATAAAATTTGGTATGTGCCATCTTCTTATTGGGGAGCCCCAATAAAATATATTAAAAATAATTTTTCGATAAAATATAATAACCAAAATACCCCTTGAAAATTTCAGGGGTATTTTGGTCATTTTATTTTATTGAAAATATCTGTTTTGTATTTTTCGCTAGTGCGAGTTTAATAGAATATTGGACGTCCAAAATTTGGTATCAAAATAGTTTATAGAAAAAATTTTAAAATAAAATAGTGTAGAGACGTGACATTGTGATTAGGGCAATCTTAGCTGTCCATTCAAAATGGACGGTCGGATAAGGGGAAGTATATAAGTTTTATGCTGTAGAGGAAGCATAGAAAGCTTGCCCTTAATAGAATACTCGGGCTCACTACCATTCTAAGGCGAGTTTAATGTACAAACTCAAGTACATAGAAAACTCTAAAAAATATTTTATACATTTCATTACTAAATCATTAATAAATGTTTATAAGAAAATTTTGTGTTTTCTATGATTATTTATGGATTTTTTATTATATGCTCTATTTTTCTTTATTTCAATTTTTCTGAATAAATCAAATTTTCACATTCATCTTTTATATACTTCTTTCCATCTGTTGTAGACTGTTAATATTTTATAACTTCTTTTGACTTCATTAATGTTTTAATTCCGAGTCATCTTTGTATCTTATTTTACAAATTTTGAGCCATTTTTGGGTTCATAATGGACTCGTGTGAGTTCACTCAGATTGACGCACCCAAGTTACCGCACTTAGACATGGGGCAAATCCGGAGCCCAAACCATTACGTTGTTTTCGGATGCATCACATGAGTCTCTGCACCGAGCAAACCCTAGAAGCGCAAGCTTCTAAGACCTATATACTGTAACTAGTCTATATGATTTGGATGTATTTGGTAAAGATTGGTGAGGGTTTTTTTGCCATAATCACTAGTTTTATATTTTCGGTATTTTTGTATTTTTAAAAGTACCCAAACTGTAAATCTTTTTTTAAAAAAACATCCATTTTCCTGTACATTTTTAAGCTTGTTTTAACTTTTTTACTACGCAATTTACTTTTGCTACATGTTTATTGTTCTTTTTTTCTTTTTTTTTTTTTCTAAGTTTTGTTTTCTCAATGCGGACTCGACCGAGTTACTCAGCTCGGCCAAAGGCCGAGTACATTGCAAGAGTCGATTTTCTGTACCCTATCCAAGACATTGTGGCAGGTGCCTGAAACCTCCAAACTGGTATTGTGTATTTGGTATGTCAAAGGGAAATGGGCAGAACAATGCTATCTATGCTTACCAACTGGGGGCAGGTGAATTCCATCGAAACACGAGTACGTCATTTCCCCCAGCTCTGAGGAAAGATCTTGCATCACATTTGTCATGACAACTTTGAACCTGCGGGCCACGTCGTTCGGTTCCTCCATGCAGCCCCCAGTATCGTTCTGCCACCTCTGCGACGGGATACACCCAGTATTTGACATACCCATTATCCCAAACTTTCTCGGACCGCCGCTGTAAAGTTTTTGAAAATTCACTCCAATTAGTCAGATTAGCGCAGAACAAAAAACAAGAAGAAGATGAAGATGATGATGATGATGATTATTTTGTTCACCTGTAAATGTGCCTTGTAGATTGAGGTAATAGTCGCGACCATCTCGTCCTTTTGGCTGGGGTCAAGGGATTTGAGGGATTAAGATTTTGCATGATGTCATTGCCTCCGGTGCTATGAAGAAGAGGGAGTTAGCGAACATTACTTGGGCCAGATTTTCACCCACTCTGATGGCGAAGTTATTGTAGATTGTGGTGAACTGGGAGATCTGTTCGCCTAGGGTTGTGGGGGTAGCATCTCCACACCTAGTTACCACATCGTGGTATAAATTCCTATTGCTGACACTTTCAATTAACACCTTCAAAAATATAACTTCTTAATCTATTGAAATAACGGATAGCGGTGTCATGAGATCTTAGAATATGTTTTCCTTACAAATAATATAAGAAGGGGCCTTACATTATAAGACTGATTACTTTTTACTGTAAGACTGATTACAAATAATATAAGAAGGTAATTGTCATCCTTAGTCATCATATGTCAGATCTAGTGCTTGGAGGTGTGCAGTAATATTCAAGACAAGCTATATCAGTGGCACACAGTTTGCCACCTAATTTCATATCTAATAATTAAATATAATTGTGACCTTTTTATACCAAAAGTTAATTGTCTTCATTTATATGTTTCTTTTAAAAGATTGCATAAAAGTCTTATTGAATGGTGCATACAAAGATGATGCCGGTCTCGTTTAGAATGCCCGCTCCTCCTGAAGCGAAATTGACACCACTGAAGATACGCATGGGAAAGTCACGTCGTGCGAGGGATAGAAAAGCTGGTGGGCTCCTCTTCCATCCCACCTGCATAGCTGACAAAAAAGAATTGAAGGGTGATAAATCAATTTGAGCATGCCATACAATACTTTAACATAATTTCTCAACATTTCTTTTTTTTTTCTCATTTGGGTTTTTTTTACTCTCAACTACTACGGGCATTCTTTTCATTTTCTCAAATTTGAACATATCTTTCCCTATTATACTTTACCAAGTTTTATTTTCTTAGATTTCAGGAAGGACAGCTAAGATGATCTCTAAGGGTGTGTATGTTTTTTTTATCTAAGTACTGTAGAACTTTCTTGTTCGATAACGAGGAAGTCCAACACTACAACTAGATATTGTGGTACCCACTTGCCTCATATTTAAGATTAAAAGGTGGATACCACAAGTTTCATGGTCATCCATGGAACTTGCGATATCCACTTCCCTAGAAGATACATTTTTCAAAAAACATGCACGCCCTAGGGGTCTGCTTGGGTTACCACTATGGTCAATTTTAACTAGCAACGAAGGCATCTTAGGTCGATAGTGCTTGTTCTAAATGACATTTCAAGTGTTTAGTGTCCGGCATTTCTCAAACGGAAAATTACAGTACCCTTAGGGATGGCAATAGGCCAATTGGCCCGGCCTAGCCCCTGCCCCAGCTATAGAAAAGTAAGGGCCTTGGTCCAACCCGCAATAGGGCCAGGTGGGCTAGCCCTGTTCGGCCCTGTCAGTCCCTTTTTTCCTTATTATTTTTTATTTTATTTATATTTGTTGTATTTGGCCAGGAAAGCTGGACAAAGCCAAGGAACCTTGACAGGGTTGGGTCGGGGCTTCTTTGGCTCTGTCATGGACAGGCCACGTAGGGACTAGAGCAGGCTAGGGCTAAGTTTGGGCCGGCCCATTCCCACCCCTAACCAATCTTTCAAATTTCATGTGAAAATGTTATTGACAAAATTCAACAAAGAAAACATTATTGGATTCCATAACAATAATTCAATGCCGTTTAAAGAAAACCTTTTCTATTCAATTATGTGATTTATTAAGAGTATTTTGATGGAAGTCAATAAAGGTTGCACCATTAGGGTGACCCTATAAGTACCCTTGAAACCATTCAGAAGCATGTAACACCCAAAAAATTAGGGTTTCATAGGACACCCACCATTCTCCTAGAGGGGTTTTGAAGAACCTCTCAAGTCATGGAAATCCAACTCACTCACTTGAATTTGGAGATGGGTGCTACTCAAGGGGAGACAGTCCAAAGGGCTGTGTCATTTTCATGTCTTCCAGTGTTATCCTACCTGGTTTCTTCAGAGAGAAACTATTTATAAGCTCGTTGGGTTGTTATCCTTATAGTCTCTATGTGCGACAAGGTTATCTTACCAAGTTTCTTGAGAGAGACCATTTCTTACAAGCTAGTTGGGTTGTTATCATGTAATCTCAATGCATGATGCATGGAAATTTGGGCTTTGTTCAATGTCTCAAGATCTATCAAACGGGTAAGGGACCTAATCTAGTCAAAACTAGTCTTACCAGTTGTCAAATTAGTTGGATTGAACATTTTCAAAAAATCAAAATAAAATTTTAAAAATTATTTTAAATAAGAAATTTATTAAAAACACTTTCTCAAGTTATGTAGAAGGTTGAACTGGTTAGAACCTACTGCTTCTTCTGGCTGAAAGTCGTGAAACATTAGTTTTAACTGATTTTTGACTAAATCCAATTTTTCTTTTGGACTAAACCAATGAAGACGCCAGTCAATAGTCAGACTGGCCGAAAGTTGTGAAACATTTGTTTTAACTAATTTTTTATTATAATTTTTATTTTGGACTAAACCAACAAAGACGCCAGTCAATAATCAGACCAATTGAATTGGTTGGTCTAGTCCGATCAAAATAACTATGCTCTTTCTCTCTCTCTATCCCTCCCTCCCTCCCTCTCTCTCGCTCTTTGCATTTGAAAGTTAAAAAAATCAAAACTAAAATCTTAATTAAAAAAATTAATATTTCAAAAATATTAAATAAATAAATAAATTAGAATTAAAATAAAAAGAAAGGTTTATGACGCGGGGTTTTAGAGAGGACCTAAGAAATATTATATAAGCTTAAAAAAAATTTAAAAAATATGTAAGGGAGTTTTAGGGGGAATTGGGTCGGGACTCATACCATCTTGAAATAGGTTCAAGCCAAACAAATTCCCATCCAAATCGACGATCTAAATCGAAAATCGCCAATTCTTAAAACAGTTGTGAGCGGCTTTCAGATGGTCCCTTATTTGGGTTTTTCTTTCTCTTGCTCTGGCTTCATGGCCAAATATTTGTAATACCCATTCTTTTGAAATATTTTCGACAATGTTCCTTGTAGTTTAAATTTTACATCCATGTGCCTTTTTTTTAAATTGTTTCAAAATGAAAACCAACCCCAAGTTCCGACCTGGTATTTTTTCTTAATTTGGCTAGGTTTTCAGGTCGGAACTCCAAGTTCCGACATAATATTTTCTTTAGGAACTGGGTTGGAAGTTGGAGATCAGAACCTCATGTTCCGACCTGGTTTTACCAAAAAAAAAAGACAAAGAAATGTGTAACTACTCGAATCCAACGCCATCATTCAAAAAAAAATTAGTTTTTAAGAGTGGATCAAAACCTCATGTTTGACCCTTCAGAAAAAATAAAAAAAGCTGTGTGAAAAACCGAGTCGGAAGAAAATAATAGAAGTATTTAAGAAGTGATCCAACCTCAAGTTTCAACCAGGTCTTTTTAGGAAAAAGTCACTTTAAAAAGCTGGTCAGAAGTTGGAGATCCATGCCGGTCGTTCGAGAAAAAAAAATTGCAAGTTTTTAAGACCAAATCAAATCTTGTCCCAGTCCCCCTTATTCACAAAGCATAATTTAAGAGTTTCAACCCAAAAACCAGGCAAAAAATTTGGGGTCAGAACTTGGAGCTCGTATTTAAGGGTATAATAAAAAATTTAAAAAAAAATTAATACAAAGATAGGCGATTTAGGATAATAGAGACACTCTTTAAATACCAAAAGAAAATATTTAGAAAACTCTCCACTAACATAGTAACAGTGCCATTAGATCCTCACATTACGACCACTACATTGAAATATGAATTTGTGACCATAATATTTGCCCATACCCATACTCTACTATACATCATGGGAAAACCAAAATTTGCTACTTTGGTATCTTTTAGAAACTTAACATCTTTCTTTTGAGTGGTTATGGGGTGACATCAATAAAGTTATATCTTGAGTTCAATTCCTACCATTGATCTATCCAAAAGCGAAAAAAAAAAAACAGACAAACGATTGGTCCAAGAATGGTGAAGTATTGGATACCTCAATAACCAAACAGAGCTGACCTGCACTTTGAGCATGTTTTAGCGTTAGGCTTCAATGGTGAAAGTGTTGGCACTTGCAAGACCATGACTCAATTTGAATACTCTAGTCTCATACTATCCAAAGGAGAAGTCATGTTTCTGAGTCTTACCGGGGAGAGTGAGCAAATTAGTTGAGAGAGATGAACAAAACATAATCATATGCTGTAGGAAGGAATAAAAAACCACATGGACATGATCCATGAGATGTTATAGCGAGGAATCGATTTTAGGACTTTGTTACCGGAAAGTGAGTGTGTTACCAATAGATGTCAGCTGCTAACCATTCAATGCCCAAGCTCAATTCCTACGGCTGAACTACCAGAAAAAAGAAAACGATGAGAGGGGATATAGAACAGTAGGGTTGAGAGTGCATACACAGGAAGTCTGCAATGTTGAGGCCATTAGTAAACCGTCCGGTAGGCGTGCCGCCAGGGAAGTTGATACCGTAAGGGGGTATATTGGCCTTGGCTATCGTATCAAGGTAGTTGTTGTTACCTACGTCGAAGATTGAGTCTCCAAAGAAGAAGACTGCAGGAGTCATGGCGACCACCTGCACCGCGCATGATGGGGTTAGCAGGATCAACAACCCCAGGAGTAGGAACGGCCCAGACCAATATGTTGCCATCTCCTGTACTTGTAATTACTTAATTTCTGTCAGCGAGTAAGAGGAGGACCACTAACATGTTGAAAACTCCACTTCATCCCCTCTTCATATGCATGGAGAAAGGAGGACGACCAACACGATCTGAATTTCCCTGAATGTGGAGATTTTCTCATTTCTCGCACTTGGTTTGTGGGCACAGGGCCATCTAACCCACGAGAAGCGCACGTCCATGCCTTCGGTTAAATCTTGAGCGTATTTTAGAAGTTTGATACATTTATCGGTGTTGAATTGCACATAACACTTATTTGTACGATTAATTAGGGTTAAATCATGTGGCTGGCACCTTCCTCCCCTATTACTATCCGGCCCGATCCAAATCCGTACCAAGGACCCGGTCAAATTTCTTATCCCATACCTTTTTTTTGTTTTTCTTTTTTTTTTTTTTGAGAAAATTGTAAAGAGAGTTATTTACGTACGGACTTTAAATAAATTAGAAATTAAATAAATTAGAAAAATACGAGTTGCTTTTTTTATATCCAAAAATTACAATCAAGGTCAGTCAACGCGACCTTTTTTTTTTTTTTTTTGACAAAATTACCCCCTCGGTCCTAGGATACATTCTCGGACCGCGTTTTTTTAAGTTGACATCCGAGGATTTCAACCTCCAACCAAAACTTAAGTTCTAAAAAAAAAAGGCGATCTGAGAATACCATCGTCGGACCGAAAATTTAAGTTCTTTTTTTTCCCAAAACTTAAACTTGCTGTCCAAGGATGATATTCTCGAACCAAAACTTAAGCTTTAAAAAACAAAAGCGGTCCAGGGATGGCATCCGTGGACCTCTTTTTTATTCAAAAACTAAAAGTTGCAGTCTAAGGATAGTATTCTTGGACTGAAATGTATTTGAAAAAAGAAAATCGGTCCGAGAATGCCATTCTAGGACCGCAACTTAAGTTTTGACCCTAAAAGCGTTCCGAGGATGGCATCCTCGGACTGAGGGGTAATTTTATATATAAAAAAAAAAATCACGTTGACCGACTTTAATTGTAATTTCGGGTATAAAGGGAGCAAGTCATAATTTTGTTGCTTATTTAAGGGGGGTATGTAATTAACTCTTATAACAATCCTAAATTGTAGTTTCTATGCATGCTCTTCCATAAAAATACTTTTGATACCATATTATTAACCCCAATATTGTTCAATTTTGTACCCATTATTTCAAACAATAAATTTGAGTATTTTAGACCAAAATACCTTCATTTTAACCCATGTTTCACACTCCCACTTTCTCTCTCTAAGTTGGTATGGCATAATTGTTAGGATTTAGGAACCCTCTTAGATGCGGAAACAGGAATCCCAAAAGATGGATCTCACCAAGATCGTATACTTATCTAGCTATAAACAAAATAAGAGAGAGCATGAGGTATAATAGGATAAATAAAGCATCAAACACACAACCCACAAGATTTACGTAGTTCACCCCAAGAGGGCTACATCCACTGGCACGACAAACTAATATCCATTATACCAATAAAAGTTGCATCATAGATTTTGAGACATAGAGTTATCTTTTTAACCCTGGATAAAACCCAGTCGAGCAAACCCTTTTAAACCTGCTCTTCTAATCAGCACCTACCAATCTCTCATCTCTATTCCATAGCTAAAGTATTGTCCAAGTTGAGATCATCTCCATTCCACATATAAACAAATATCAAGGAGGAGAACCTTAAGAGCAACCGAAACTTTCTCTTACTAAAAAGAGAAACTAATCAAAATCTCTATAGGAACTGCTTTTTTACAAAAAACCAACTTCTCAATCTACAGGAGGCATATCCATAGTGTTTCTCTCTATAGGAGGAGAACCATAAGCGCAACCAAAACTTTCTCTCACTAAAAGGTGAAACTACCCAAAATCTCCATGGTAACTGCTTATCTACAAGAAACCAGCCGCTTAATCTACATGAGGCATATCCATCGTATTTCTCTCTATAGAAAGCTATTTTCTCTTTGAAGGGAGGACCTTGCCTCTCATGCATAGGAGGGCCCTACCTTGCTTTGTAGAGAAAGTCACATTTCCTATATTGCGACCTAAATAGGGCACACATAGTCTTTCATCTTTCATTTCATATATATATATCTATATATATATGGTAAGAAGTCCATACAAAATAGGAAACTTCATATAGGGGTTACATATATCTCAAGAACCAAGATATATATCCTAGAGTTTTAATCTTTTTAGATTTTTACTTCCTTCATGAAACTTATCAATGTCAATCTCAATCCCACATAATATGGGATTTCTTTATATAGGTGATTCTGGATATCACCGTATCCAACAATAAGAGCATCAGACTAGCTTACCTTGAATATAGAAGATGTGCTAGACCGACACAATTTCAATATAAGCCGGTCTGTCATATTTTGTTCTAGACCGGTATCAAATGTGTCGGTCCAAAACATTTGATTCTAGACATGTTGCGTGTGAGACATGGGTTAAAATTTGGGGGTAATAAAAACAAAATTTAAGAGTCCTAGTTTTTAGATAGGCAACAAGAGAAATATTGCTATTTCTTTTTTGAGAGAATGTAACAAGAAAGAAAAGTGTATATTACATGTAACAAAATAGAAGAATGACTATTATACCATTGTATCATTATTATATATACAAATGAAAGAACCCCTACAAACTGAGTGTGGGGCACAAATAATTTTTCAAAAACTCCTTTCTCTCTCTAAACTTCTTTATAGTATCAAAGCAAGGATCGCATTCGATCTAATTTGTTTTACCGATAGCATATGAAAAGATCACCGCACAGTAAATACCATGTTTGAGAACGATCTTACGCTCTATCGAGCTTCATGTGATGATCAATGCACGGGTACTGCATCTTTTGCGCTGTCTCTCGTTTTGCATGATCAATATTCTTCACGTGGCCCATCTTTCCTTGTAAAAAAAAATTTCCACCATTTCATCATCTCTAACTCAATATTACTCTTACTTCATCGGTTTTTTTGTAAAACCACTAGAAATTAATAAACTTATCCTGCAAAACTCAATGAGATCCATGCGTGTTAATCTTCACTCGTATAGAAAACCCAATGAGCCCAAAACCATTGAAATAAGCTTCTCCATTTCAGTACGCAATTAAAAGCAAAAGCATAAGATCTTTCTTTCTCTTCCAAACATCTTCTCACAATCATCATCTACTCACGCCGTCATCTTCACTGCATTATCTTTCTCTCTCTAAATAGTGATCAGTATTTGATCTTAGCGATCCGGGTACTCTATCCTCAATATCTAAATATACTTATACCTTTACCCTAACATAGGAAATTTTGTGTCGATTAAATTGATAGAGAACAATTATCACTTATGGAAAACCCAAATACTATCATTTATTAAGAGTTAGGAACTTTTTAAATTTATTAAGGGTGATTGCCATACGCCAAGTCAAAAGATTTCATCTCCTGATAATAGGAGTGAAATCGAAAACCCAGACTACAAATTATAGTTTGAGTCTGATTGATTTCTTAAAGCTTGAATCGCAGGGACACTATCAGAAAAGTGTCTCAATCTTATGGTTGGCCTTAAGACTTCTCCAGAACTATTGGAAGGTTGGCCTTAAGACTTCTGCAGAAATATGGAAAGCTCTGAAGAATGCCTATTCTCAAGCTAGGAAGTTTCGACTTACCCAGCAACTCTAACTTTATAAGAAAGGGAATTCGACCCTATCATACATACTACATATGCAGATTCAAGAGTATTTATGATAATTTGGCTGCTATTGGAAAACCTGTACTAGACGAAAATAAGGTCTTTTGGCTTATTAATGGACTTGGTTTAAAATATGAGAGTTTTGTTACCACTATACTTAAGCTTCTGATTCCTTTCTATTATGAAATTATATCACTTCTTCAAAGCCATGAGATTAGAAATCAGCCTCATGTCTCTAAAGACTCATATTCAAATCAGAATATGGCCCTTATTGAACAACAAATAAATTTTGGACCTAATAGAGGTAATAAAAATTACAGAGGTAGTGGCTGACACAACTTTAGTGTTCAACAATTTTTCAATTCTCGGGAGTGTGGATTTGCTAAAAAATGGTAGAACAATAACAATAGGAGACCAGGTGTACACCTATACAATCATGATTCAAAGGTTCCAACAAAACTCACATCAATCAGCTCAGACACCCCAAGAAAAGTGTCAAATTTGTAGAGAATTTGGACATACTGTAGACACCCCCTCACAAATTTTGGTTAAGAAAATTCCTAAAAACCTTAATTCTGAGCCCAAATGACCCCAAAAACCCTAGTAGACTATAGAAAATCTAGACCCAAAAGAATTACCCTATACCTACCCAAAACCTATCCCGAGTCGTAGGTAACCTTAGAGCTTTCCAATGGTCTAAGAATTGCTTAAATCGGACTTGTGGTTAGGAAGTTAAAGCCCGAGGGAAATTGTGCGATAAAATGATAATTTAGTCCTTGTCGCGCTGGACATGTGTCATTACATGATGTGTTGGGCGGCCCGGCAAGGAAAGCCTGATGATACAGAAAATATCATTTTGATAATTAGGATAAATTCAAAAAATCAGAAAAATTTGGAAAATTTGGAAAATTTTGAAAAACAAATCCCAAAAAATAAGAAAAATCCTTAATTGAATCTTATAAATACTCCATTGTAAAATCCAAAAAATATATATAAAAGAATTAGAAAAAAAATTCAAAAAATCCAAAGAAATTCTTTAAAAATCCTGAAATTAGAAAAAATAGCCCAAAAATACCAAAAAAAAAAAAACAAATCCCAAAAATTCCCCAAAAGTTTCAAAAATCCCATAATTCAGAATCTACTTTAGAAGATCTCAAAACCCTTACAAAGCTAAGAAAAATCTCCTCCAAATCCTTGAAAGAGCCTAGGGTGACCCTAACTAAAAATCCCAAGCTTTTCACCATATCTTAAGAACCCTAGATATAGGTGAAAGACCTATAGATCTACCAATTCCAGCAAGCATAGGCATCCAAAAAGGAAATGATGATGCAAATCAGAAAAGTGGTCAAATCAAGTCTAAAACTTTGAGTTTCAAGTCCCTAGAATAAGAATTTATCTCTCTGCTTAATTAATTTATTTTCTTCATTTAATTCTCTATTTTATTTTATTTTATTTTATTTTATTTTATTTAGAAATTGATTTAGCATTATATTTAGTTAAATTTGGTAGTATTTTTCAGTACCCCTAATTATTCACACTTTCCAAAGGTAAAAAGGGGCAATTTAATAATTTCTCAACAATTATTTTAAAGACATACCTAATTGATGTCAAAATTTAAAAAGATTCCCTCAAGTACAAATTGCAATCTTTTGGCCCGTTAGCGATATTGCCAGTGATTTCAACCCCTTTTTTTACATCCCCTTTTTCTTTTTTGGCTATGCTTTTGGTCATTACGTCCATCCTTTCTGGTTAACTCAAGATTGAAATGTTTTTTATTTGATGATTAAAATTTTATTTTATAGTAAGAAATTAAAAAAGATAATTAATCAAAATACACATAATTAGGTCAAGTAGTTGATATTTTATGCACATTTTTTTTATTCAATTTCAAGATACCCATCAAAATACACATGACCAATAGTTGAAATAGGGTAAATTATTAAATTATTTAAAACTTCACTATATTCTAATAAATTTTTCAATAATAAATATCCTTGTTATAGGGTTTGGGAATTTTGCATTCTACAAGTGCAGCAGCACTTCATATTATTTCCGAAAAGGAGTAGGGACCCATTTTTATTGTGAGGATAGGCCTGAACATTCCAAGGTATAACCGCAATTTGTTTTTCAGGCCACTTAATAAGAGCATAATAATGAAATTGACCCTTGTTATGTAGGATTTGTGACGCGGAACAAGTGCATGTGATGAATTCGAGATTCCTAAGTTTGACTTGCCCGAGGCCAAATGACATAAATTTTCTTATTTTTAATGGATACTGATTTCATGTAACAGTTGTATAGTAATATAAAGCAACAATATTTAAAAACTTTGTTTGCGATTGTAACCGGAACAAGCAGAAGTACTCATGTTATTTGGCTCATGTCACTCAAGTAGGCCCAAATTATAGAGTACAGCTACAGCTACTTATTTAGGTTCCCAACCATGGGTAATTTGGATACCTTTTGATAAATCTAGGGTAATTTTGTTTTTTTTTTTTTTTTAAGGATGTAGCTGAATATAAACTTCAAGGGTGCAGTTTGTATAGAGCCGAGGTTCTAAACAATCAAAATAAAGCGCACTTTCAAATAGTGTCGAGAAATGCGGTTTCAATACTGGAAATCTTTGTGAGAACCTTAAAATATATGTTCATATCTAATTATAAAATTTAAATCTCAAAAAATAGTGTAGATCGAGCAAATCTATGAAAACTTAAATATCTTTAAAATTGACGGTCCAAAAATACATTATAAGATACATTATTTCCAAAACTTGGAACCATTTTTTTCTCATGTCCATGCGTCTTTAGGTCGAGATGATCAATTTGAGGATATTTAGGTATCAAAATAACTTCTTTTGGTGAAGTTTTTGAGGTGCACCCTAATTTGATTGTTTAGAGCCATACACTTATATAAACTTTTTCCAAATTTAAAAGGCAAGCATTATATTTTATATGGTTAATTGAGAACATTTAACCACCTTAAGGATTTTGTAAAGTGGGTTGACCGTTTAAGAAAGTGTTCCCGTTTAGAAAATATTTTAATTATTGAAAGACCACACACTCAGTTATCTCTCTGTTTCTCCCTTCTGAGGCCATCTCCTTCCTCTATCGAAATTTTGCGTGATCAATCCGATCTATCTCCTAAATCTTAATCTTCTCTCTCTAAAAAATTGAAAGCTAACTTCTTCTTGATAAAATCACAACTCAAAACTGAACTTTCTCTTTCCTAAACCATAACCGATATTCCAACACAGTTGTGATCTCTTCTAAATTAAAATGCAAAACCAAAACTGAATTCCTCTTATCCTACTATCTTTTCTTAGTAGTAGTAATGAAAAACAATTGTTGGATGGAAAAGAGTTTAATGAGCTCATGCAGTGAAAAGGTGCGTCTATAGATCGAGACTTGATAGCTTTATCAAATTTTTGTTGGAAAAAGAAGGAGATGAACTTGCCAAAGATCCCAAATATTGATGGGCGATGTCGCTAGATGATGTATCGCAGAGGACCTAGGGTTTCTCTAGAACGCACTGTTTTCTTTTTCTAAGCGTTTTTTAATGCCATGAAAACCTAATTTATAAATAAATAAGAGGAGGTTGTTGTCCAATGTTCAACTTTCTTTCTTGGAATATCTTAGAAGCGGCCATCAATATCTAGGAGATAAGGAAATTATCCACTATCTGTTGGAAAAATGGTTTTTATCTTTCTAAAAAACCTTTTGACGATAAATAGTAATTAATGCATAATATTTTTAAAAAATTATTAATTAAATAAATAGAAAAAATATGTGGCACATGTGAGGCTCCATATTCATATACACGTACCAATATCTCCCACTTGGCTATGAGGACCGAATACATAGATATACATTAAAGCCCATACTGCAAAATGGATTTAACCTTTATGAGTATATTTTTGTCATAAGGCTTTTTACACTTGTGCGATTATACATCTCATGACCCAGAAATCATTTAAAATCTTGTCATGAGGTTTTTCATGCTAATGGAGCTATCCTCTCATGACCAAGAAATAAAAAAATATCTATTTTGGGAGTTCCTGACTTTAGATGTTCTTAAGTCCTAGCAAAGTTACATGCGTTAAAAATATTTCAGCACTTAATCCCTTTGTCAAAGGGTTTGCAATCATATTAGATGATGGTAAACAACTCACTATTATTTCATTCTTTTAAATAGTATTATAAATATAATGATAACCAATTTCAATGAGCTTGTCCTTTGAACTAGTGGCTCAATTTCTAATTTGATGAGATGATAGACGGATTATCAAAAACCATTTTAATTAGTCGGTCGGCTATATCTAGCTTCAAATCCTTTATAAAGTGTCAAATCCTGATGAGATATGTTATAGCAATGCAACAGGCAATATACTTGCCTTCCATAGTATACTGAGCTACATAACCTTATTTATTGCTTAACTAAGAAACACATCCACCTCCAAAAGAATATATGAACTGAGTTTGATTTATATCATATGGGTCTCCTGTAAAGTCTGTATCAGAGTACCCAATAACCTCTATATTATCAACTTTGAAGTACAATTTGAAGGTTTCAATTTTATAAATATACATGAGTATCCTTTTTACGGATGACTTGCCGATGAGCAATCCCAAGAATACTCTAAAATTTACTTATAAGACCATATGCATTACTCAAATGAAGTCTTGAACATAAAATAAACAATATTGGCAGCTAATAATGTAGTGTCAAAAGTATTTCACGGAAAGGCATATAGAAAGTGCAATTTGGGGGTTTTTCCCCCCTCCCCCTTAAAAAAAAAAGAAGAGAAAAAAAAAGAAAAAGAAAAAGGAGGGAGGGCGTAAAGGTCAAAGAAATTTGGACCGGGTCCTTGGTCTGGATTCAGAAAGTGCTGTATTACTTGGGGAGGAAGGTGGCAGCCACATGATTTAGCCCTAAATAATTGTATAGGTGGGCGTTACGAGCAATTTAACACGGATGAATGTATCAAACTCCAAAATACGCTCAAGATTGACCCAAGGCATGGACGTGCGCTTCTCGTGGGTTAGATGGCACTGTGCCCACAAACCAAATGCTAGAAATTAGAAAGTATACACCTCGTCGTGGTCCTCTCTTTCTCTATGTATATAAAGAGGGGAGCAAGTGTTGATTTTTTATCACATAGGTGATCCTCCTCTTCTTCTATAGAAAGAGCTCTTCTTCTATATAGTAGAAGGGAGGAACACCAATTGAAAGAAGAGGGCATGGCAGCATTTTGGTCTGGGCCGCTCCTACTCCTGGGGTTGTTGATCCTGCAAAGCCCATCATGGGTAGTGGAGGGGGGCGCGCCTCCTGTCTTCTTCTTTGGAGACTCAATCTTGGACGTAGGTAACAACAACTACCTCAATACGAAGGCCAAGTGTAATATGGCCCCTTACGGTATTGACTTCCCTGGCAGGAAGCCTACTGGAAGGTTTAGCAATGGCCTCAATATTGCGGACTTCTTAGGTATGCACTCTCAACCCTACTCTTCTCTCTCCCTTCCTATCTGTTTCTTCTTTTTGGTAGTTCAGCTGTAGGAATTGAGTTTAAGCTTTGAATGGTTAGCAGCTGACGTCTATCGGTAACATACTCGCTTTCCAGTAACAAAGTCATGAAATTGAATCCTCGCTATAACATCTCATGGATCATGTCCATGTGGTTTTTGCTTCCTCCCTACAACATATGATTATGTTTTATTGATCTCCTTCAACTAATTTGCTCTCTCTCCCGCAAGAGGTAACAGTCAGAAAGATGACTTCTTCTTTGGATAGTATGAGACTATGAGTATTCAAATTGAGTCATAGTGGTGCGAGTGCCAGCTCTTTTACCATTTAAGCCTAACCCTGAAACATGCACAAAGGGTAGGTCAACTCGGTTTGGTATCGAGGTATCCATTACTTCACCAATCGTTTATCTTTTTTTTTTTTTGGTAGTTCAATTATAAGAATTGAACTCAAGATATAACTTTGTCTGATGTCACCTATAAATCTTCTCGACTAGAAACCTATGCGGGTGTAGACTCAACCCCAAGCCCAATGGTAAGACAAAGACCAAATGACCACCGAAACAGAAAGAAATTCTTAATTTCCTCCTATTCAAAAGAATGATGCTAAGTTTACTATACAGTCGAGCCTCTATATGAGTAGTAATATAAAGTCATATTTACTCAATATAGTGGTCGTAATGTATGGACAAAACGGCCATTGGGTTTAACATAGAACGTTCAACTTTTCATAATAATAATGGTCATACGATAAATATGAATGTGTTTTGAAGCGATGGCAAAGTCGGCCAAAGTAGTTTCAAGTTTCAACTCGACCAAGGACCAAGTCACTCGGGCTTGGGCCCTCGCCGAGCTGAGTTGTCCGGAGTTGGAGGTCAAATTTGGGAATCTTAAAAACAAAAATTAAACTTTTTAAACAATGAGATATATATTTGTTAAATATTTATTTGCATTTTCTATCACTTTGACAAAGAGTGGAAAGTATTTTAGCAGTGACTATTTATTTTTATATTGGGAAATTTACATTATAACGAAATAGCCTGAAAATAGGCCGTCATTAATTGGAATGACAGTTTCCTTAATTGTTTGTCAGGTTTGCTCTCGGTCAGATTTTTCAAAGATCAGACTGATTTATTTACAACCTTAAAAACTTTGCCCTCTTCTTTTTCTCTCTCTTCTCTCTTCTGTCTCACCTCCTCTCGGCCCTCTCTCTATTATAACGGGGGAAATTATGTTCAAATTGTAGAAAAGGAAAAGAGTTCTAGCAGTTGTTGAGAGCTAAAAGAAACCAAATAAAAAATTAAGAGAAATATGTTGAAGTATTGCATGGAATGCTCAAATTGATTTAACACCCATCGATCCTTTTTTGTCAGCTATCCAGGTAGGATTGAAGGAGAGCCCACCAGCTTTTCTCTCCCTCTCAGGGCAGAACTTCCAAAAGCGCCCCTTCAGTGGTGTCAATTTCGCTTCGGGAGGATCGGGCATTCTCGACAAAACCGGCAGCAACTTTGTATGCACCATGCAATAGGATTTTTATGCATTTTTTTTTAACATAAAAAAATATAAAAAAACCATTTACTTTTGATACAAGATCACAATTATATTTAACCATTAGACATAAAATTAGGTGGCTGAAAGTGTGCCGATAGAGCTCAAAGTCTGGCATATTATTGCAGACCTCCAATTACCTTCTAGAATATAAAGGAAACTGTCTTATAATGTAAGGCCCTTCTTATATTATTTGTTAGGAAAACAAATTCTAGGACATCATGACACCATATACCCTATGGTTAGGGCGCTTAATGTTGCTTCCCTCATTTGTATTATCCTCTTTATGCATGATTTTAGGGGCAAAATCTACCGTTGAGCGTACAGATCTCCCACTTCAACAAAGTCTACAACGACTTCAGAATCAGAGTAGGGGAAGCTCATGCCCGAGCAGCGTTGGCTGAGTCTCTCATCTTCATAAGCGTCGGAGGCAATGACGTCATTCAGAACTTTAAGCCCTCAACCCAAATGGACCAGCTGTCGCGAATCTTGCCGTAACCTACAAGGCACATTTACAGGTGAACAAAAATCATAATCATCATCATCTTTATGTTCATCTTCTTCTTCGCTAATCTGACTCATTGGAGTGGATTTTTAGAAACTTTATAGCATCGGTGCGAGGAAGTTTGGGATATTGGGTCTGTCAAAGACTGGGTGTATCCCAGTGCTGAGAGCCCAGAGCAAGACTGGAGGCTGCATTGAGGAACTGAATTACGTGTCCCAAAGGTTCGACAATCAAGTGGAAAATATGTTGCGACAGCTTTCCTCAGAGCTGAGGGGAATGAAGTACTCGCTTTTTGTTGGGACTCACCTACCCGAAGTTGGTAAGCCATGGTTCTGCCCATTTCTCTTTTGAAACCCTTTCACATCAGAAATGCACAAAACCAGTTTCGGGGTTCCGGGCACCTGCTGGATATTTTTTCTTTTTTAATGGCCCACAATGTCTTTGTCAGTGTACAGAAAAGGAACTTGGCCAATGTACTCGGCTTTTGGTCGAGCTGAGTAACTTGGTCGAGTCGAGCACGTGGTAAAAAATAAAAATTTCTTTGCAAGAAAAACAACAAACAAGTAGTAAAAGTAAATTGAAGACCTAAAACAACTTGAAAAAGTTAAAACAAGCTTAAAAATGTAGTGAAAAATGGATTTGAAAAAACAACCTGATTTACAGTTTGGGATATTCTAAAAAAAAACATAAAAAAGTGGAAAATATAAAACTAGTGATTAAGGCAAAAAACACTCACTTACCTTTACCAAAAACATCCAAATTATAAAAGATTGGCAGATAATCCATCACTTTTTTATAATTTTTGAAGATTTTTAAAATTTTTTATATCCCCGAGTTGTGAAATTGAACTCGAGCAAATTCGGCGTCGTCCCATGCCCGTAGTGCAAGGCCGAGTTTGCCGCCTGAGTTAAAGTGGTGTCAGACAAGTCACCGTACATTGGTCTTTGAAGCTTACGCTTCTAGGGTTTGCTCGCTGCCGCCACTCATGTGATGCATCTGAAAATAGTGTAAAATGACATGGTTTGGGCTCCGGATTTGCCCCATGCCTATGTGAGGTAAGTTGGGTGCGTCAATCCGAGTGAACTCAGACGAGTCGATTAGGAACCCAAGAAAATACAAAGATCTCAAAATAAAAAGATTAATGAAAATCAAAAGAAGTTGTAAAAATATTAGCAGTTTACAAAAGATGGAAAGAAGCATATAGAAGATGAATGTGGAAATTTGATTTATTCAAAAAATTTGAAATAAAGAAAATAGAAAAATAGAGCTTATAATAAAAAATTTATAAATAACCATAGATAACATAAAAAAAATTTATAAATATACTTATACATCATTTATTAGTGATTTAGTAATGAAACGTATAAGTTTCTTTTTAGAGTTTTCTATATACTTTGAGTTTGTACATTAAACTCGCCTTAGCAGGGTACTGAGGCCGAGTAACTCAGCCAAGTTGACTCATATAGGCCGAGTATTCGGTAGCTGATTAACACTGTAGATACTCTTTTAGAACCCACCACACCCTCCCCCTCTTTCACACATGCACAGTGCACACACACACACAAGCATTCTTCTATCACCTATTTTTACATTTCAAAAAGAAATTAGAATGGAAATGGAGGATTAATAAGTAGATTTGTGTTTGATGTTGGAATATAAAAATGATCTATTTATTTTTCATAGAAGGTGGCCACAATTACTCTTGTCGATTAGATTTCAAATTGGGTGGTTATGAGTGAATCATTGACTAGACTCAAAATTCAAAAAAAAATTCTTAAATTTTGTGACACATTTTAAGCCATCTAATTTGGGCCCTTAGCAATTGCGACCTCCTTGTAACAAAGATAGAAATGGTCTCCTGGTATACAATCCCTTTAAAAATTGATTCAGCCAGCTTTTTACATGTCCTAGGGTTCGCTGAAATGAAGACTGCTTGCTGCGGATTGGGTAAATTCAACGGTGAGGTCGCTTGCAATCCGAAAGCTAGTTTATGTGCCAAACGCAACGACTACTATTATTGGGACACCTTCCACCCAACGCAGGCGACGTCAAAAATGGTGGTGGACATTATGTACAACGGCTCTCCACAATACGTTGTTCCCATCAACTTCAAGCAATTATGGAGGTCTTAGAGAGAGAGATAGTTATGAAGAATACTTTGTTTTGTCATGATTACCGATCTTTCAAATTCGTTTTCAGTCCTTTTTTTCTTCATTCTTTTCCATTCTTTGAGGATGAAGTTCCAACATGCTTATCAGGGCAACTGGTCTTTTGATCGCCATGTCATCCCCTTGTATTTTTGTTTCCTGCCTTTATGAATGGATGGTCAGTTGGTTTTCCTCTTTTCCTTGTGCTTTCCTTTTCTTCTTTTATGATTGAATAGGTAGGTGGTTTTTGGGAACTAGAAAAGTAGTATTTGCTTATTTATTGTTTTATGGCTAACATTAAATTTCATTAGATAGTGGAGTAAAGCTCCAAAGTAGCTGTAAAATAGTACAAGAAGAAGAAATCGAGAGGAGCACTCTCTATATCCAAGACTGACTTGTCCTAGCTCCCAAAACACAACAATTCCAAACATTGTTAGTATTTTGGTTTTGAAAAATACTTGGTGTGTATGTCAAAATAACAATATACTTTTTGTGATTTTTTTTAAGCAGTATTTTGTAGAGAAATAAAACAGTGGGTTTTTAGTCTCCACATTGAAGAGGAGAGAGTAAATTGAACAATATTTAAGTGTGGGCATTCATATGCCTTATGCTCTACAAAAGAGAGAATGATGATGCATGTGCAGAGCACGCAAAAGTGTACGACGAGCACGTGCACATGTGCGTGCGAGGCCATGGGTGATTAATGGCACACTTTATACTTCACATCAGTGCCCCTTGCTGGAGCACGTGTACGGCCTCAAGGGTAGATACCGGCTCATGGGGGTATCCATCAGTCATCTAGCCGTTGATGAAATGATGGGCATCCAACTGTAATCTAGTCATTGATGAAAGCTCAGCTTGTGTGAGGCTTCCAACGGTCATCTAGCCGTTGATGAAATGGAGGGCATCCAATGGTCATCTAACCGTTGATAAAATAGAGGCTTGTAACAGTAGCTATCAAGTGCATATAACTTGTGACTGTTGGTGGTGCATGTAACCACTACTATAATAAAGTCTTTAATAGGCTTTTGGTAACTCTCTCAATACACCTTTCTCTGTGAAATTCCAGTGAGCATAACATAGCTCGCATATCTCTCTCTCTCTCTCTCTCTCTCTCTCTTCTTGTCTTTCTCTCTTTCTATCTCTAAATTATCATAAGACTCCAGTGTCTAGTGTGTGGACTTCAAGCTCGGGTGCATAGAGCTTTGGAGAAATAAAGATACCTCTCTGTTTTCATGTATCCCGAGTATGAGTTGTTTTTCTCATTTTTAGAATGCAGAGATACAAGTGATAAACTAGTAACATAAAAAACCAAATTGCGGTGAATTTCACAAGAATGCAGTGAAATTTACCCTGAAGATGTTTATTTCTACAATGATAATGAGAGGGGAAAAAAAATCCATGAGGGGTACTTGTTATTCCTTCTTCCAAAGAGACAATAACAAATAAATAAAGAATACGAGAATATACCTCACTGCTCAGGGCACATAGGGATGCAGAGAGGAAAATTACAACAACACCAAAATCGTTGACAACACCACCGCTTTGACACTAGTGTTGGGAAAAAGGAGATGAATTTGCCAAAGATCCTAGATATTGATGGGTGATATCACTAAACTTGTATATTGCAGAGGACCTAGGGTTTATTTAAAACCACTGAGAACTGGTTTCTTTTTCTTTATGTTTTTCCATGTCATGAAACCCTACTTTATAGAGATGGGAGGCGGCCGTTATGCAATGTTTGGCTTTTCTTTCTAGAATCTTTGAGAAGTAGCCCTCAATATCTTGGAGATATGAGAGTTATCTACTATCCTTTAGAAAAAAAAAGGTTTCTCTCTCTAAAAAACCTTTTAAAGTAAATAATAATTAATACATTAAATATTTTAAAAAATATTAATTAGATAAATAAATAAGAGTGATGATAATATGAGACCCTCCCACACCGATGTGAATAGGATCCCAAAGGATCACCACTAAATTTTGATGCAGATGTCTAAAAGAAATTTAAATTCATTGGGAGATCTTCTTAGCACCAAGTT